GATGAAGTAATCAATCTTTTACACAAAGGTCATTTTGGTCTAAGTAAATGGGCCAGTAACTCTCAGAAAATTTTAAATGCAATCAATCCTTCAAAACATATCAAACAGATCAACCTCTCATCTAGTGAAGATTCAAATGTCAAGATCCTAGGACTTCAATGGAACCCTTCAAGCGACACGTTTGCATACCAGATTGAACAATTTACCCCTGTGTTTACTAAAAGGGCCATCCTATCAGCTGTTGCAAAGATTTTTGATCCTCTAGGATTCGTTTCTCCTGTGATAATGATTGCAAAGAGCATAATACAAAGCCTATGGAAATTGAAGCTGGGCTGGGATTCGGAAATCCCAACTAACTTGAAGACTCTATGGAATGACTTGACTACTCAGCTAGAGAACCTGCAACATCTTAGTATTCCAAGATTTGTAACATCTGACAAACCATACAAATTGCAAATAGTAGGATTTGCTGATGCTTCAGAAAAAGGATATTGTGCTGCACTGTATCTGAGAGTTATTAGTGACAAAATAATTACAAACCTTCTAACAGCCAAAACTAAGTTAGCCCCAATCAAGACACTGTCTATCCCACGCTTAGAGTTGTGTGGAGCCTACCTGCTTGCAACAATATTCCACTCTGTTATGGAAACCCTCAGCCAATTTGCCAGTAATCAGTTTCAGAAGCCTATTTTCTTCACTGATTCTTCAATTGTCTTAGGATGGCTGAATACACCAACTTACAAGCTTAAAGTTTTTGTAGCAAACAGAGTTGCACATATCTCAGAACATACTCCTGTTTCATCGTGGAGACATATTAAATCAGAGGAAAATCCAAGTGACCATGGTTCTAGAGGACTTTTACCAGATAAACTAACTAACTGTGATCTATGGTGGCATGGCCCTAAGTGGATGAATATGCCTGAAGATAAATGGCCAGAGTCTACAGTACAGTTCCAGCAGCAGCCCCTACCTGAAGTGAAAGCTGAACCACAAGTGCTTGTCTCAAATAGTACTGAGCCAGAGCTTATCAAGATGATGGAAAACTATTCTTCATACTACAAACTTCTACGTGTAATATCTTGGATCAGAAGATTTATCTACAATTGTCAAGCTAAACTACACAGTACTAGTCGTCTTAAAGGACCCCTTCAGCCTAAGGAAATTCAAGAGTCCTTACTATCCTGCATCAAGAAAATTCAATCACACTTTTTCTCTATTGATGGCGACAGAAGATGTGCAACTGCTGTCCTCAATAAGTTTCATAAACTTACCCCTTTCTTTGACAAACTGGGGATACTCAGGGTGGGCGGCAGGCTAAATAATGCAGCTATCCCAGAAGATCAAAGACACCCAATCCTTCTGCCAAAGTGTCATTTCACCTTATTGTTGGTAGATTATTACCATAAAATCTACCTACACCCAGGACCCAACTTGCTTCAAGCTCTGATTCAATTACGATTTTGGATACCATCACTGAGAAATATTGTCCGTCAGCGAACCTTCAAATGTCTAAGGTGCTTCAAGCTAAAGGCTGAAACCTTTTCCCCGATGATGGCTGATCTTCCTTCGCAACGAGTGAATGTAAGCCGAGCATTTTTACATGTTGGTGTTGACTTTGCTGGACCTTTGACTATGAGAGAGTCGTTAAGAAGAAAAGCAACCACTGCCAAGACTTACATCTGTGTTTTTGTCTGCATGGCTACTAAAGCTTTACATTTAGAGCTGGTAACCGCACTCTCAACAGATGCCTTTATGGCTGCTTTCAGACGTTTTATTTCTAGAAGAGGTCTTCCTGAACAAGTGTATTCCGACTGTGGAACCAACTTCAGAGGAGCAGCTAATCGTCTTCGAGAGTTAGGATTATGGTACTCCAATCAGACTACACAAGAAGAAATTCTACAGCAAACTACTAAACTGGATGTAAAATGGAATTTCAATCCTCCCTATTCCCCACACTTTGGTGGACTGTGGGAGTCGGCAGTTAAATCAACAAAGACACATTTGAGGAAGATAGCTGGAGAAACTGCTTTGACTTATGAAGAGTGGTCAACCTTGCTCACCCAAGTAGAAGCAGTTCTGAATTCAAGACCACTCTGTCCTTTGTCAGCTAGTCCAGAAGAAACTAATTTTCTTTCTCCAGGACACTTTCTTGTTGGATGTCCTCTTGTTGCTCCTCCCGAACCTTCTCTTCTTGATCTTCGAGAAAACGTCCTTACAAGATGGCAACTAGTCCACAAGATGGTTCAACATTTTTGGAAGAGGTGGCGAGTGGAATACTTGAACATCCTGCAAGCGAGAGGAAAATGGACAAGATCTTCTACAAACCCTAAAATCGGAGACTTGGTTCTTCTTAAGGATCAAAATGTACCTATCTTGCAGTGGCCTCTTGGAAGAATCATCAAGACTCACCCAGGCAGTGATGGAATTGTTCGAGTGATGACTGTCAAGACCAGTGACTCTGAATTCCAACGTCCAGCTGTGAAATTGGTACCTCTTCTTTCAATCAATTCTGACCCTTTTAAGTAAGATGCTAGAAATTTCCTTTGAAATTTCGGTGGGCGGTATGTTTGAGCATTCTCAAATTAGGTCTAAACTTAAATTTATTTTAAATAAAATAATACTTGTTTTGTCATTTAAATAATAGATATTTAAATGTTTTGTGTGTAAATAAATCACTGCACTTTTTGGTTCAATTCAGAATAATATTTTAAGTGAGTTCATAAAATAAAATTGTATTAAGTTAAGCCAGACAGAGAGAGAGAGAGAGAGATAGGCAGACAATGCAGAGGAATGTGCTGCGTATCCTGCTTATCAGTTCCAGCCGACATGATATAGACTGACCAGTGGTTTTTCCTGTACACTGCTCCAACTCACGCAGTTACTATGCAGTCTTCATGTGAATCAAACATTATGAGGGTCTCTGAATCCCTCTAATTATTTTACCATGGGTCTCAGTATCCCATATTAAATCATCAATTATTGACTCTATTGTTTCAACAGAAGTTTTATTTAACCGTGAGGAACATTCACCAGAAGTTTGTGTGCACACAGTGTTATATTTTATTTTCTCAAGAAGTGTTAATCTCCATTACTTGGTATTAACGAACATTCATTAATTTCTTCTCTTCGAGGTCGTGAGTACATCTCTACACATCATTCCTCTCTGTCTATTCCAATTTGGACTTAAATATCTCATCAAGAGAATAGTTTTGATTTGATTTGTAAAGGGTTAATTTAATTTTGTATCATTATAATATTTTCTGAACTCAAATGAATTTATTATTTTTCCAGTAGGTAGTAACTCACTGTTTAGACAGATCAATAAACTTGATTTCTACTATATTAACAAATATCTATTGAACCAGCAATTATTCAGTTTGGTAGCAAAGTCAGGAATTTAATTTTTAATTCCCCTTTGTTCAAACACAGTATACGAATCGTGATCGAATCTCTTAATACCTAGTAACAAATAATTCAACATATCAAAGGAACCGATTATAAAAAGTTAAGCGATCTTCCACAATCCGTTGCGGCAGAAGAATTTAGAGAAAGCAACCGGTAAGATCTTAACCGGACTTCCTCTTCTGGTAATCGATTCGAACCACCGAATCACCGACCATCGGATGTATCGAATGTCGATGTATCGAGTTATGTCGATCGCGGATCTGTTCGTCTTCATTTACATATTTTTAGCGACGCGCCGCGCTGTAGCCTACTTATCTGCACTTTCCAACCAATTATTTATTTATTTATTCCTCTCTTCTGGACGACCTTGAAATAAATCCGGCGCCACTTACTACGTGGAATTGCCGGTAAGATTATCGATCTCACTTATTTAAAAGATTTACTGGCTACTACATTGTTGTGCACAGCTATGCGATAAACATTTATGGAAGTCGTATAGCCTACTATTTTTTATTGGTTTTCCATGTTATACTCGATGGTAATCTGGTTCTTACCACGGATATTAAAATATAAGCGGTATGGATAATAAACATAAACAAATGACATCACTGACCCGAATCTACATTAATTAGGCCTACGCTAACATTTGGACTTGGTGTTTACGTTCGGTCTAGTAACGTAATTTACTTATGTTTCTGATCCATGTTTTACCAAAGAATTGCACGGGTCAAACCTAGAGATATAGCCTCTGGATCGTTATTGAACATAGTTAAAATTCAAGGCTTACCTTACAATCCAATTTATTTTATATTGGAGACCTTGGATAACGTTTGACGTAGATGCCTAGGTCTACACTATAAAATGAATTGGTATGGTAAGCTAACTAACTATTGGTATATTAACTATAAGAAATATGTAGTAACATACCATTGACTACCGTCAAAGATATTACTTACGTCAATAGCTCAATACTGCGTTCATATACTGGATGGTGAATTTCAATCAGAGCATGTTTTGACACAATGAACAATGAATACAGCTCAGGGAATTTAAATAAGAAATGTGTGTTTAAAAATTGTGTAGTTGCAAAAATTTTAACTCACCTTGAGAAGGAGATACAAAATACTTCATTGTATATGCGTTCCTTCAACAACGTGCCACTCATCCTACACTCATCCTTCACTCATATTTGGGTTAAAATACGCACATAGTGGCGTCCCCATCTTAAATAATTGATATAATATCAAGATAAACGACTGCAAATGTTTATATGTCTTTTAACTATAGTTAATATTGAAATGTGAAACTTTAATTAACACACATTGTTTATATTGCAGTCCAATTTAATGCATAGGAAAGTCTGTTTCGAGGAAAGATATTGTTTAACTGCTTTTCAAAGAGTTAACAAGGAGTCTTTGAGAAACTGATGGTAAGGGGGGGGGGGGGCAAGGGTTGTGTCTCAATTCCACAACAATTTAGTAGAACGACCCGTTTTCTGAAGTTACTGCGTTCGTTATCAAAATCACGGTCATGGTTAATTTTCAGTTACTTTCAGTTACTTTTCTCAAAGATCTCACCTTCTCTCCTGGTTTCAGGATCGACCCCGCCATGGCGGCTACGGTCGGCTACCATCTCGATGACGTCATGAGAGCGGTAAGACACAAGGACTGCTCGACGTTCGTCTGTCCATCGGTCACCCCACGGGAGCTCGCAGAATACCCAGGACCGAGATAAACGGGGTGTGGCGGAACTCCTTGACTGTTTACAATTAAGGAGGAGAGAAAAAATCACTGGTGTATACCTAGAAACAGGAGGATACTTAAAACATGTATAGCTCATGTGAATTACATGTTTATGTTTCCTAGTATTGTATTTAAAGAACACATTTACTCGCAAAATTTTGCATCCACAGAATACCTGATGTAAAAAATTGGAATTGACTTTTTAGTATTTGATCGAATTAGAAGCAACAATAATGTTTTGCCTGTCGCAAAATATCTTAAGCTACCTTTGCAGTAGGTGCTGAGATTTGGTTCAGCTTTTTTTCTTATTCCACTCTATAAAAATGTTAGTTAAGTAGGCCGTAGCACGAAAGATCTGAAGATGTATTTTCAAAGTTGAATAAGTTTGACCAGAGGTATTTTGTGACATTAAATTATTCTTCCCCCAGCGTTTGGTCAAAAGAATTGCCTAATTTGTTGGGATATTAAATTTGTGGCCAACAAATCACCAAACGAGAACAAGTTATCAATTCTAAACTTAGATTGACAATGCTTTAGTAAATTAATATGAAATTTTACTTAACGTTTGGTCAATAAATCAAATTAAATAATTATCATCGAATAAGTAAGTTAGAGCCAATTGATCAGCAAAAAACACGTAATCAATTTGTTGTACATATATTTCACGTGTAGAATATTTTTTTGTACTTTGTAAGTTGTAGATTATAATCTAAATATTTATTTACTTGATTTAAATCACTATGTATTAAAACACTACTGAAATACCTTAGTAGTTTATCCTCTATTTGGTATTTTGTTACATTTGGTGTATATCAGTCCAATGTTCTTCTTGTTTGTACATAATTATGTTGTGTGTTTCGATAGTCTCATCATGTTTATCCTACTCTATGCCATAGATATATTTATAATTCAATATTTATTTAGCACTCTAAATTTCCAACCATGGATTCTTTCCAGAGTATTGTTTGATGACGCATATATAGCCTAATCGATTATTGTATAATCCAATATGCAAGTGCCTAGATATTGAAGCACCAAATATGCCACTTATCTACTAATAAAATTAAATTGCCTACACAAAAGCTACAAACTAAGCTTTTCTGATTGTACAGTTCTAGTCATAGATAACGTCCTTTAATAGTACGAGTGCCAGATTATATATATTTATTCATGCTTTCCCGAAATGGCAGACCTATATGATAAATAATTTGTCTTCCTTAAAAATAGACAGCAATTGTTAACTCCCTTGACAAAAATAATGAAATTACTCTAAACTAATATTTTTAACAATTAATAGCTTATATACCAACTCTCTATTAGTTTTGATGAGTATAAAATCCTATAGCCGACATTACAGACTATTCCAAAGTTTATTTTCACCTATTAAAGTGTTTTCTTGGCTAAACACCACCTTGGGGTTGTTTTAGTTCTAAAATAATATACCAGGGTAAAAATCTTAACAAACGTCAGGAAATTCATGTAACATTACCGTAAGGAAACTTGCATACACATTTACCTCCAAATTGTACATTTATTCCTCATCTATTCTTCTGGTCACTAGTTACAGTTGGTCATTAATGTTTCTTAGTTAATTTATTCTGCTATTTTCCATTTAATCTATTCAGCCGATCCCAGTTAATTTTTCGACTGCTCCCTTGTTCATCCGTTTCGCCGATTCCTATTGCATTTTCCTCAAATCTTTGTTCATTATCCAAGTATCACCCTGTTAATCTGTTCAACTTTTTCCCAGTTCATCTGTTTCACATTTGTAGCTCATTTGTTCCAGTGTTCCCTAGTTCATCTGTTCCACTGTTCCAACACGGCCGAGCCCCTTCCGTTTCCTTCTGCTTTCACTCATTTGCATTCCAATCAATTTTATTGGTCAAATCAGAACATAATTTGGATCTGCTGAACGGTCGATTTTGGGGGATCGCGCCATTCAGTTTAATTGTTCACAAGTCAACGATACAATCTGTACCTATATCAAGACCAGTTAGTTCCTTTTGCAAAAAAACACCTTTTTTATCTGGCACGATTTTTAACGTATTAGTATTTGTATTCCAATATACCGTATAACTCTTCAATTCTTCTTTATAGCTTTATATATCTTCTTAGCATTACGTTAACTATTGTAAATATTTAAACTCTAGCTTTGTAAGTATTGTGTATGTAAATTATTTGAAAGTCAGGTGTATTTATCAAAATACAATGTGTGGTTTGTTTTCATTTGCTTTATTTCCCTGTGTTTGAAATTAAACAACTTTTTTATTTGATTTTGTGTAAGAACTAAACTCACGCCGATCTGGGTAGGTAGCACATACAACAGCAGAACCGGGTCAGCCCTGTCAAAGAAGGGCTAAAACTCGGAAAATGAAAGAGTTGTATTAATGAACGTTTTTCTTTGATAAGCAATTGTTCATTCCCATAACCAGAAGCAGCCCTTACTTTATTGTGAGAACTGATCTACATTAGAATCGTTGTGGCGACAGAACAACTGACTGATGGGTCGTTTATTTGTTCTTTTATTAGATTCTTAAATAGTTATTTAAATAGTACACTGACTAGATAATATGTATTGAGCGGCACCAGATGGATTGTTGTTGCTCAGATGTAACCCACAAGGACGAAGGAGAGCTGAGGTAGAGCTCCCTTTAATAAGTTCGCCAAACCCAACCACAATGTTGTGAATAAGTTTATCTTCCAGATATTTATTTATATACTGTATAAAGGTTTCTCTGTTAAAACCTGTTAAAGTAACTACTAAAATACCTGTTCATACGATTTCAATGTATACTCACAGAAGCTGAATAAGCTGTAAAAAACAAGATTAAAACAATGAAAAAAAACTCAAAGCCATTATCTGTACCTTTGCTGTACGTAAATTATTACCATATCCTAAAAGAGGTGTCTGATTATACTTATGTTCAAGATTATTACTGTGCACTTGCCCACATGCAAGCAAAATCAACCACACTGGCTTTCTCACGGTTATGGGTAATTCACAACCGTACTTATGAATTGGGTGATTTCAGACGATCAGGAGTCAAGTTGCGACCATACATTGTTTATTAGGTTGAATGTTTTACTTAAGAATTGCAAGGATCGTATTTAAATTTCGTTCGTACATTACACAAAATACTTTTTGAGATCTACGTAAGTTTGCATACAAAATATGTACAAATACATTTACTTAGATAAAAATGTTAAATCGGTAAAACTTCAGGATCACGATTGAGTAAAATATTCATCACACTCAACTGGAATTCCTGTACTTTTGTTTTAAAGGCCCATTCAATAATTCACCCGTCCTCACGTATCCCAAGTAGTAAGTTTGACTTCAGTTCTAGCAATTCTTTTGTTCTGGTTTACCTTTCATATTTCTCGTATTTTCTCAGCGCTACTGCTTCTTTAACATTCTTGTTATCTGGTAAATCTTCGTTTGTCCAAACTACTCTTTTGATTGAACCATGACCAAATTCATCGCAGGACTCTTGCGCGGTAAACTTTGGAATAAAAATGACGATTTCAAAGCAACTGCAAAAAAAGAATCTAGTTACTTAAAGATAGTGAAATTCGGCCTGACTTTAAACGGTTGGTGGAAAGGTCCACACGATTCCTCCATGAATATACCGTTGGTGCTTTTGATCCAAACCTTTCTTTTTTCCGGCCTCATTGGGGCTACTCACCAGCTTCTTTTTGCCCCGCAGGATCTGAATAAAGCCACCGAACTTATGTTGCATATATTATTTATTGCTCATACGATCATAACCCATTTCACCCTCGCCTGGAAACAACAAACGATCTTGAAAATGCTGGCTCTAGTGGAAAATCGCTTCGATCACTTCAGCGAAAACATATTCCACCAGAACAAAATCGCTGAGGATGAAGAAAAGAACAACTCTAGATATTTAACTGCAATCACCGTGATCATCTCGTCCGTACACCTCAGCTTCATAATAACCTCCAAGGTTTACATGATAAACCTTCCTCCAGAGCAGAAGTCACTCCTGTACCCAGTCACCGTGCCTTTTGAAATGTCCAACACGGTGTACTACATAGTCTACTTATTGCAGTTGATCACTACATTCTTCGAAGGCACCACTCACATCACGAGCATCGCTATTTGTACAGGCTTCATGAACATCCTATGTGCCGAGTACACAGTGCTGGGCAAGTCCTTCAGGCACATGGGCAAGCTGGGCAGACAGCGGGCACTGCAATGCCCAGGAACAGAAGTGGCCCTAGGATGGACCCCTGCGCGACACCACGACTATCACACTCAGGCGTTGCTACGCTCCTTCGTCGACCACCATATACTTATGATAAAGTAAGTATTTATGTTATATTTCCACTTCATAAGCATTATGAAACTTACTGGGAATGATGTATTAGGTATAAAATTGGATAAATTATATTTGCTACTGTACTATGTCCAAAGCAAATTTAGGTCAAAAGTAAAGGTTAGTGCTGAAACAAGTTTTCAAAAGTTCAATCTAATGCAAATTTTGATATAGTGAAACAGCAGAGTTTTATCATATAATATAGTAGGAATGAACAAACAATATTAGAAGTCTCCCTTTTATAGTATTCTAAATGGTGGAAGAATCATACTATACAAAAGCTGAATAAGTAAAATATAAATCACTTTAGATTAAATATATTATATGTTTATATATATGTAATATATGTTTATATATTACATGTTGTTGTAGTGAGTCGGTGGCTCAGTCGGTAGCGTCGCGGACTTCGGGCCCAAGGCAGCGATGTCGTGGGTTCGGATCCTGGTCACTTCCGATAACATTTAATCAGTACAGTTCACCTTTGTACTGTACCGGCTCACTCCTTGCTTTGCTGTTAACGATTCACGCACGGGTGCTTAGTCTATGTGGATGGGCAAATGCAAGGTTAAAAGAGGCCGCCAACCTCTTAAAAAAAAAAAAAAAAATTAATTAAAAAAATAATAAAACAAGAGGTATATGCCCTCCTCTGGTTCAACATTTAACTTTTGAACTTAATCTACATTTTCGTGAGCTAAGTCACGACAGGTTTGCTAGTAATAAAACTAACGGTTTCCGTGGAATTTGGTATTTTGAAAAGTCGCCATTTTTAAACGGTTCAAGAGTTTTTTTTCATATTTTGCACAACAATTGTGGCAAATAAAATAAACATGTTTAAAGAATTTCAACGCTGTAGCCCAAACAGTTAATGAGTTACGAATGTTTTTTGTAAAAATCACATACAGACAGATAGGCCAAAAACGAAATGAGATAGGACACAAATGTTATGTTACATTTGTTTAATCTTTTGACATGCTGAATAACGTGACGAAGTTTGTTCATATGGTTGCAAGACACCCTGTATAGACTAAATGTTAGTAGTTTTCGGGTAACGAGGGGCCTAAAATGAAGCTCGATCTCCATTGTGTTTATCTATAGTTGGTTGACGAACTTGCACAATTCGCCCAATACGTATTTACCAGCTTATAACTTTAACACTCGTATATATTTTGGCGCCCGCAGTTTGAGTGATGCGCATGTTGGTTCGCGAAAGTATTGCACAAAGCTTCCTTCAGTATAAGCGGGAGCTGGAACCGGCAACAGATTTGTCAAGTGTACTTACTAGATCTTAAACTTAAAATCCTACCGTAGAATTGAGTTTTTTTAAGCACAAAATTACTTTTTTGTTCAGTATACTAGGCTAAGTAAAAACTTCATTTATAAAGAAATATGCTCCATAAAAATGTATTGAATAGGGCTATTGTTATAATCTTTAAGGAACAGTAAACTTCTTAGCGCTGTGATGGAAAACGTCCACTAATAATATTCTTTGAACTGGTGTAAGATGTAACTTTTTACATTTATTTGACAAATATTTTAAAATATAATGTCTGAAACAAAAAAATCAATGAATGTATGTTTGTTTAGCAATTAGCTTTGTTTTTCGGGCTCTAGTAACACTGCTCGGTTCTAATACAGTAATTAATTGAAAAATAAAATAAGTTTGTTCAAAAACTCTGCTGTCCTCACTTGTCCATAGGTAAAATATCTAAACACAAATTAAAACTTTAGATGAACCAACATAAACACTTCTCATCAACAATATTAAACATCAAACAAGTTTTACTGTAAGATAAAGAGTTTTTCCAGGTAGAGATATTATTTTCTCCGTGGTATTATTGTGTGATTTACTTGCTACGTATATTTAATTATGTATTTACTTGTCAGTTTTCACAAGGCCCTGCAGTCCACGTTCGCTATCCCTATCTTGGAGATGTTTCTAAACTGTGAGATAATGCTATGTACCTGCTGCTTCCAGATGTTCAAGGTATGAAATATACGGCATTACAATATTTTACTTGAATTCCCTAAAACCTACTATGAACACACAAAATCCTTGCCACATCACAAAAATTTACTTGAATTCACTGAAACATCATCAACTTCAGATAACCCCATTTCCGTATGGATGTAAACAAAATTGCTTCATGGCCATCTGTTTTGATGTAAACTTGAAAATGTGCATATGATTGACAACAGAATTCAGTACAAACTATGGAATTTTAAGAGACTATAGGACGAAGGGCTTTCACGGGATATCATCCAAACCCGCAAAAGCCACATCTAGAGGATAAGAGCTTTAAATTGACACCTAATAATATTAGTACAGGCAAATTAGATCAAATATAGGGAGTGCTCCCCAAAAAATCGTCTAAAGCTGGAAAGTGTTTTAATACCTTTTGGGGGTCCCAAATAAGAGTCCTGTGAGTTTGCGACGGATTCTGACGTCTGCTTAAGTTCTATTTGGGAGTCGAAAAACCATGAAGATTTTGCACTTTTTTCAGCTTTTCGCTTATAACTCCTAAATAACGAATCCTACGGAAAATGCTGCTCAAAGGTTTCTTTTAGTGCATTGAATTCTGCGTCGATTGATGTTAACTACAGGTGCATTTTTGTATAGCAAGTGTCGATTAGGAGTTGTAAGCCGAAAACTGGTCAAATAATCAACTTTTTGGCCTAGTTGATGAAAATGATCCAACTTTAAAAAGCTACAGCGGCCAAACGGCTCGGCCGATTTTGACGTATTTAACACCAATCGACGCAGAATGTAATGTACTAAAAGAGACCTTCGAACAACATTTTCCGTAGGATTATTTTTTTATGAGTTATAAGCGAAAAACTGAAAAAAGTGCAAAATTTTCATAGTTTTTCGACTCCCAAAACTTAAGCAGACGTCAGAATCCGTCGCAAACTCACAGGACTCTTATTTGGGACCCCCAAAAGGTATTAAAACACTTTCCAGCTTTAGACGATTTTTCGGGGAGCATATGTCTAATTTGCCTGGGCTATATGTCCATAAAATAAATATTTAGGGGACGATTTGCTGCACACAAAAATACAACAAAATTCTTTTCATAATATAGATGAGATATGATATTTGGTTGTAGGCCTATTGATTTTTTGTTATGTATCACTATTTATGATCATATTTAGTGCAAGGCCCCACTACAAAAAAGTTTTTTTTTTGTGGGGCCTTGATAGGATGAAGGGCTTTCACGGGATATCATCCAAACCCGCAAAAGGCACTTCTAGAGGATAAGAGCTTTAAATTGATACCTAATAATATGTCCATAAAAATAAATATTTAGGGGTCGATTTGCTGTACACAAAAATCCAACAATTTCTTTTAATGTAAAACATTGATTTGGTTTAAATGATTTTTGTTTAGATGTATCAGAAAGGGGAGTTTGAGAAAGTATCCAAACTGCTGTGCATGTTTTTTGCTCTTCTCGCTCATGAATTTGTATATTTCTGGTTTGGAAGTAGGGTGACTGAAAAGGTATGTTCATTTACTACAGTACCACCGGTGTTTACTGTACTGTATGTTTATTTTTTCCTACCACTGCATGGAAATTATCACATTGACACACCTGTAAACGTACCACGCAAAATGGATCATTACCGGTGATGGTGTCACTCTATCATGCACATAAAGAAAAAGTTAAGCGTATAGTTAAGAGGCAGCATACATGTTCGGCAGCTACATGTGGGTCAAACAAAAAAAGTGTTGATGGGGTGTTTTTTTATTGCAATATGTGACAATTAATGAATGTGATAATAGAAATCTCGAATGATTGGTTAGAAAAGGGTGCTAGTGACTGGCGATCTTTTAAGAAACTAATTACGGTTGTATATGACGTTCAAACAATTCAAATAATTATTTGATTTACTTATGTCATAAATTACATAATATTTGTCATAGTATTAAAATAAATTTTTGTAGTTTACTGTATTTGTATTTGTGGGGACTACTCACTATTCACTACAGCACAATTCAACTCAACTACTTTTGATGCCAAAACAGTTTTTAACAGAATCATATTATACTGTAGTATCAAAAATATTTTAAGTATTGCAACCATTGCAAGTGTCGGTTACTCTTTCACCATTTGAAAACTAAGACTAACAACAGTCTCAGATAGCTCAGAGGTAAGGTAAGAGGCTCATAATAGTGCGGGGTGGTTTGTAAGTATTCAGACTCTGGCTCGATTGGAGTGTTAAAATTGATTTGTTGATTTTCCATGCTTAACAATACGTTTGTTAGAAAAATCACCCTGTTGCCATTTTTATCACTTTTTTTACTTTCCAAATCTAGTAAGGGGTATAACCTTAACCTTGCCTCATAAAACCGCTACCTTCTTTATAACATTGCTACCTTCCGTAGCAAAATATGATAATTTATTGCATAGAAAATACCATAAAACTATTATTTTCTTAAAGAGGAGATTCTAACCTTCATTTTCATTCGGTATATAAAAAATACCCCCGCCACAGCAAGCCTGCCGACTATCGTATTTCCATTTGTCCGAATTAATTTTTAGTTAAATCTATATTAAAAAACCATTATATTTAATGAGTACGGTACCTAGGTTTGCTTCTACAAGGAAACTAATAAAGTGTATTTTTTTAGTGAATAGTTGGATACCTCCAAGTAATTAGATCACAAGATTTGATTCACAAAGTTTAGCGCCCTTTTGTCATTAGATTTACAACAACATACATTCATTTGTAACAAACTTTTCAAAACTTATTTTCCATTTATATTCTTTCTTGGTCTTAAACAACACACAGCAGACAATCGTCACATCCTGATGTCATAATTGTAGTTTGCTGATTTATTTTCTAGGTTCAGAGTTTCTGCTACGACGTCTACGCTTGTGACTGGCATGAGAGATCAGTCAGTTTCAAGCGCAGCTACCGCATAGTGCTGGAGCGCATCAAGCGCGGAGTCACCATTCAAGCGCTCGTACTGCCTGTTAACCTAATCACATTTGCTAAGGTAGGATGTTGTCGAATATATCCAAGAGAGATTTCGGAACAAAATTTGTGGTACATACATCCTAATCATTCCTGAGTCTATACTAACTTATACACTATATTGTCTATACTATACTATATTCTCTATTTTCTCATATTTCTTCAGGCCTCCACACTCAATAGCCTCTTTTTTCCATCAGTCAAATTCAAAACCGGAACCAGCTTTCCTTTTTGGTTTGATGGTAAATTTTACAAGGTATGCTTTACTTTTTAAACACACCTTAAAATGTTATCTGCCGATCCGTAATACAAACAAATCAATTCCATAATGTTAAATCAATCCCTAAAACAATGAAAATATTTTGTATGTTTTAATAGGTTGTTCTTGTTAATGATTTCCTACTTACATTGTTTACAGTGTCTACAAGCAGCATTCTCTTATTTCAACTTACTGCTGGCTTTAAGTTACAAGCAAGACAAGATTCTGAATCAACTTGGACATTAATTATCAGGTTCTGCAGATTGTCAAAGGCTGAAGAAATAGAATACACATTGCTAAGTAGTTACAAAGTGAAAGTACCTCTAGTTAGACACAATCTTTGCATAATGTTCAGACCAGAATATTTTATGTGTGTCTTGAAATTGTTCATATTTGATGTTAATAAAAAGATTAAATGAAAAAATAGTTTTTGTCTTATAATGCTTTAAATCACCTTAAAAGCATTTTGTTAAAAATCACCTGCCAGAAGTACAGTTATATATCCATGATGTTATTGGAGTTCCACGAAACATTCCTTGCTTTAAACATCCTTTATAGCTAAAACACCACAATACTCTTTTTAAACAAGGCTTTACCTCTCTTTGTGTTAAAAATACGTTTTAAAATGGTCTTATGGTCTGTTAAATATTTATCAAGTCTCAAATACAATAGAAAATTTGACAGATAAAGATATACAAAAGATCTGGACCAAAGACTGCTCTCAGATGATTATTTTACACTAGCAAAGCTCGGTCCCCTGGTACTTCTTTTAAAGCTGCAACACAAGATTATAGTGGTAATGAAAACTTGGGGTACACAGTCCTAGATCGATACTAAAACGGAAATAAAGAGGTACGTGAAAATTATTGACCAAAAAGTATCAATCAGACGGAAGATTTACAAATACATTAAGTATGTCTGTACAAAACCCAAATATTAATTGAATTTCAAACAATATAGTTGAGCAGATTCTTGGTCTTTGGGCGATGCACAATAATTCAATTCACCAATATAGATAACCACCACACACCAATATACATCTATTGGAGGTTTTAAAGGGCACCAAAATTCAAATTACACATTTTGACAGTCTTACTTCAAGATAACTACACGATAGAAAGTACACTTTCGATTTTTCTTAGAAAGTAGCCACAAGTGTTTTGTTGATCTTTGGATGCTGCACCAGATAATCTGAGTGGTAGACATGCGATCTAGGAAGTGGAGATAATAGTCCAGTTGTCTCTGAGTCAGCGAAGCATTGCTTCCTTCTGTTGACAAACATGCGTCTCCGACATTTAATTTTCACTTGTATTGTCTTCGGTTACGAAACACATCTGGGGGAGGATGGGTAAAAACACATGAACAAGTTGGTAGGGCTTAGTCTGCTGTCATTGGGGAAGTGAGCAAGATCTGGCATTAGGTTTTGAAAGGTAAGAGAGTTTATTTAGTTTTAGATATTGGTAGATATATTATTCTTTTGAATATGAAATACGAAAAATACTGATGCTAGTAGAATGTTTATTTGTATTAATATGTTTTTTAATCACAAATTAACTTATTTAATTCAAATTATGTAAATTATAAAAATATTCTGATATTATTAATTACTTGAATATTCTTTTTAAGTATTCAACACATTTAAATAAATATAGGCATGTAGAAACACAAGTCCCTAAAATCAACAAGTTATTGTTATATTTAAACTAACTAAAAATCAAATAATCTTTCACGCAGCAGCTCTGAAAATTGTAAGTTAATCATTTTTAGATCACTTTAGTGAAAGCAGAATTTATCGAAATTATTTGTTGATTAGTTACCAACTTTAATTAAAAGTATAATTACAATGGTAGTGTAATCACTTGTTTAATGTAAACGAAGCAGAAGTTTTTTGATCCCAATGTATTTTAAATAGAATATATTTTTTTGTTTTTTCTCCTTTTCTGGTAGATTTGTATATATAATCTGCTATTTTCCTCGACTCTCTGGGACCAAGACCTTTAGTTTGAGCTCTCTCCCATCATCCTGCGAGCTGTCAAACTCTCACAATTTAGATTTTAAAACATTCCTTACATAACTAATAATATAGATTATCAACAAAAAGGATGTAAACATGGAAAATTTGGAAGCCCATGGGGCGTAGCCCAAGGGAAATATGAAAATTAAATGATATAATATTGCATTAGCAACCATTTGTGAGCTATGTTTCAAATTTCAAGTCTCTAGCTCATCGGGAACTTCGTTTAAAATTGATATCAAAATTTGTAGGAAAACGACTAGCGAGCTAATAAAAACAAGCCCATGGGGCGTAGCCCAAGGAAAATATGAAAATTAAATGATATAATATTGCATTAGCATCCATTTGTGAGCTATGTTTCAAGTTTCAAGTCTCTAGCTCATCGGGAACTTAGTATAAAATTGATTGCAAAAATTGTACAGGACAAGAAAGCGAGCTAATAAAAACGTTTTAAAAATACATCAATTTGTAACCAGGCAATTGCAATATAAAATATTTAATCACTAAAATATGCTCAACAAAATTTAAGTTTGTAAGTTATTTTAAAATCATCAACCATGGCTATTAAAATATAAAATATCAAAGTCAAACGAAACATTTAATGTAATTTAGCTAGCAAAAAGTTAGTACCTTTTAAAAAGAAGAGATAAAAAAAAAAAACTAAATAGTACCGTCTTTACAGTCATTACTTAGGTCTTAGTTGTAGCTTTAATTTACTTATCTCTATTCATACTTGGCTTAAAATACCTACTTTATATGGTCACCATTTAATAAGAAAGTATTAAAGTTAAAATAAACCATGCTAGCCATGTTACTAAGTCGTGCTAATATTGTTGAAATACAATTTCGTGCACTACTGAACAAAAACTTGAGACGATGACTAAACTACCACCACCAGGGAGGGAGTAGGTCCTTTATTGTTTTCCCTTTGTATAAGGCAGATTCACTGTTTACAGATGTGGTCCTACATCCCCCTGGCCCTATTGGCCTGTGTGTTGGTGTCTGCAGAAACCCAGAGTGAGAGGGAAGAGAAAGCCATGGACCCAGGAGCTGCTAGATCCATGTTGGCAGACATTGCTAAGGAGCTAATAGCACGGTCTGGCACTAGCAGTCAGGTTAGCCAAAACATGTCTTAGTTCGTAACAAAAAAAAATGCTGCTGAAGGTCTGATGTTTTAAGTAGTGGAAAAATTTATTTTTCAAAATAAAATTAACAAAACCATGTTTAATCTAGAAAAGATACTGGGGAGTTACTGGTCTAATGGTAGATGGCGGGACTTAGATAAGAAAGTTAATTTATTGAATCATTTAGACAACTAGCGGTACCTGGCTGACATTTAATTTTAATTGCAATCAATAATTTATTTTATTCAGTCCCCAAGCATCATGACTATACATGGTCTAACAACTAAGCACAGCATTACTTCTATCCATTTAATCTGGCTGCTTTAGGCAGGCACTTAATTTCCACCAATTTTTATCCTCTCATTTACAGCGATATTTACTATAGTCTGATCCTAACAGGTTCTTAGTCTCAACCTGACCAACATGATCATCCTGCTAGTGCTGAAGGGGTTGCTGCTAGGGGCGGCCATGTGGGGTACAGGAGCGTGGAAGGGACGCAGTGTAGACGAGGTTGTGTCACCCCCCTCCATATCACTTCTGACAGAGTCTGAGCTGGTGTTGCTCATTAGCTACTTGATGGGCGAAGGAGACAACAAGTACGACTGCTTTCTCCGAGTCGCCTGCCAGGAGCCCAAGAAGGCCAGGGAGTATTTGGCTGCTGGCACCATGTTGATCAAAGGAGCCAAAGCCATGGGGAAGTAAGTAAAAAGTGCATTATTTAATAATGCACTTTTTAATATTATTTAATAATGTTGGGTAGTGAAATTTTATTCTTCACCATTTGAGGTTCATTAATTCTCCTTCAAGGTTCATTCATTTGAGATGGGGACGCCTGTGTGTATTTTAACCCAAATATGAGCAAAGCACGAGTGTAGAATAGTGTCATGCCTTCTGTAGCTTTGTTACTCACTGAGACCACATGTTTCAATAGTCTGGAGCATTTTTTGAAATGGTTGTATAGTATTGTATTGTTGAGGGTGGACTCAGGGTCCCAGCACGTCAACCGAAGCTTATTGTGCATGCCATGCCGCTAACTAGGCAAGCTGTCCTTGACCAGTTCCACGAGCTTTGCCTATGTTAGCTTTTGACTTTTGACCAAACCGAGCCGTTCTCCTAGCACCATGTTTGTAGCAATCCAGAAAGATGTGCTTTGCAGTCTCAACAGGCTGTTTGCTAAATCGACACTCCCGGTTGTCATTGTTGATTACTAGAGATTAAATATGTTTACTGAAATACCAGGGTTAATCAGACAAGGTTGCCTTATTTTTATTTTGTCTTCACCCCATGAGGTATGGTTAACTAGCATATGCATTATAATTCTCTGGTATCAAACATGTAGTATTCCATGTGAACAACTAGGTTCTTACTTGAACTTCTGGATAAAGTTATTTGACTATAACCTCACTATATGAACTGCAATAAAAATTGACACCCTGGAGAGCGATGAATATTACTGTTAAGACTTAATGTTTTTTGAATATAGCAATTATTTAATACTCAAATTCTGTATTGTAACCAATAAAAACCTTTTCATTATAAGTTTCCCCATGTACTTTTGATAGTATTCTTTTTTTAATATGCTTGATAAAAATACATTTTGTTATTGAATTTACAGCCTTGAGTACAGTAGACTCCCTCTTATCCGGACTCCTCGGGACCGAGGCCAGACCGGATAACGGGGTTTCCGGTTAAACCGACGTCCCCAAAAACTCGTTAAAACGAACCGTTTACTGTGATATTCAACTTAAATTTAGGAGAGCATTGTATTTAGACACGTGATCACTGGTCTCAAAATCTTTTCCACGAGAACAGTTGTTTCAGTACCGTCCACTTCCTGCCGATCTAGTCTGGTTAAACCAATGTGCTGATAAAAATTGTCTGGTTAAAGAGATGTCATTTCCGCCGAGTGTAGTCCGGTTAAACCGATGTCCAATTAAAAGGTGTCCAGATAAGAGGGAGTCTACTGTAGTGTTATTTCACATTTTGTTTAAATTTAGGAGTACCTATTGTATTGTTTAAATTGGTTACAGCAGTCTTCTTTGTATCTCAAATTGTTTTGAAAATCACCTAATCGCAGCTGAAACACAGCTGGACACTGAAGGTATCACACCAGCTATCAGCTGGATTATTAACTTATTA